TAATAATGTATAAAATGTTGGAATATTTAGTTAATTTTAAATGTTCTTGTCAATTAAAATGGCAATTTTTGTTGACTAATTTTAGATGTCATTTTAGTTTGAGTAAAAAAAAAAAAAAAAAATGACATGATAAAATATTGACAAAATTTGAAGAATAATATTAAAAAAAGAGTCTAAAACAACAAAAAGACAGTGTGTAAACATGAACACTGGCGTCACGTCAACGGATGCACCCCGTGTGGGCAGGGTGAAAGATAAACAGAAAAACAGACAGCAAAGAGATGATGTGGTGAGATGTAGGGTTATATTCATATGTAGTGTGTGATGCAGCCGCCAGCATGTATTTTCAGAATACCTCTCTTGTTCTCTTTGTGTGTTATCTTTGGGAGGCGACCTCCGCTCTCAATCAGCTCTTAATTAGATTAACTCTCGCACCTTCTGTTTCATCCATATCACATGCAGTTGATGCACACACATCAATAAACGTGGGATTTTGTATGCTTCTATGCAACAATTATCCTGTTTCAAAAGACAAGTTAGTCTTCTGTAAAAGATCAATTCAGCAGGCACCTGCCTAATATTTGAACAGCTTTACGAGACTGCGCAGAGTGATTGACTTGTAAAACATGGAGTTTCACTGTATTGGCTAGATGAGAAATATGGGGGTTGTTAATTGTATCAGTACGCAGAGGTTGAGAAAGAAGCCCTGATCAAATACCTATGATGTTTATGTAACCAGTGAATCATGGTTGAGTGCCTTGAAGACTGAAGGGAAATGTGTGTGTGTGTGTGTGTGTGTGTGTGACTTGACACGGATTATCAGAGAGTTGATGTGTGTAATCATATTCAGTGCATTCAATAAGATATCTGAACATTGTTGCTTTTTGGTACAATGTGCAGGGTCCACAATTAAAAATTGGCTTTGATGAATAAAAATACATACTTGCCAGTTGTCCTGCAACCACAAAACTGCAGCATAATATGCTTTTATTATAATGCAATCATTATATGTACATTGCTTATCAGCAGTGGTGTATAAAGTACCTGAAAGCCATACTCAAGTAAAAGTACAGATATCTTACCAGAAAATGGAGTGAAGGGGGATGTGTGTGTGTGTGTGTGTGTGTGTGTGTGTGTGTGTGTGTGTGTGACTTGGGACGGATTATCAGAGAGTTGATGTGTGTAATCATATTCAGTGCATTCAATAAGATATCTGAACATTGTTGCTTTTTGGTACAATGTGCAGGGTCCACAATTAAAAATTGGCTTTGATGAGGATATAAAAATACTTGCCAGTTGTCCTGCAACCACAAAACTGCAGCATAATATGCTTTTATTATAATGCAATCATTATATGTACATTGCTTATCAGCAGTGGTGTATAAAGTACCTGAAAGCCATACTCAAGTAAAAGTACAGATATCTTACCAGAAAATGACATTGGTAGGAGTTGAAGTCAC